GGGAGATTATTGTTAACCACACACACATAGCATACGCACAGCTCTGTGCCTATTTGGCGTTCCATACAAATATATTACGGCCGAACAAGTGTACGGCCGAACCGGACGTCATTCCTCACACAGACCCGACGCGACAACAAATCGCGTCGGGCTGCGTCGGCCGACGCTGTCTGAGTAGGCCTTAACAGGTAAAATTCAGAGAGCGCTATCTTGTCATAAAGTATTTGAATGCACACAAAGTCTAGAGATCATATAATATCAAGATAGCGTTCTCTGCGATTTCTGCATGCAAATTCTGTAACAACGCTGAGGGTACACCCCAAACTTTAATGTGACAAGAGGAGTGAATTTAATAAAATCGTAACTGAACAACATCAACCACCAACAGAAATCAGAAACAAAAACAAAATAGCAACGAACAACAACAATAATTATAATTAATAATTTATTAAATTGAATGAAATAAGTAAAATAAAAGAAATAAAATTAAAAACAAAAATGTGACGGTAAAAGCTTTGGACAGTAAAAGCTGCCTGACAGGATATTTATTATTAAAGTCATGCTTGTGTTTTGCAGACTGTCACAAATTCAGTCTCCTGGGAACAATAGTGTCAAAAGTCCTAATAGAAACATTGTTGTGGACATTGGACAAATGTAGACATTTATATCTAAATGATATATTTCCATACAGTAGCATATTTTTCTATCTTTATTTATTTGTTTTTTAATTATTGTTATTCTTTTTCTATATCTTTAATAGTTTAATCAATCCTGTTTTTTTAAATACATGAAAACTTTGCATTGTACAGGAACTTGAAGCTATTAAAGCGAGAGTAAGGGAAATGGAAGAAGAAGCAGAAAAATTGAAAGAGATGCAAAATGAAGTTGAAAAGCAGATGAGTATGGCATCACCTGTGGTTAGTCCAGTTGCTCTGCCCATGTCACCTGAAGATAAAGTAGATGTCGACAATCGTTCAATATATATTGGAAATGTAAGTTCATACTGCTGGCACCTAAGTCTATGTGGAGTGGAGTTGTATAGCTAGAGGTAGATGCTTCCTTGCCTTATAATCTGAGGGTCATGTGTTCAGCAACTTCTTCTCAAGACTAAAAACAGACATAAAGAGACTTACTTAATCCATTCAGTTTCAGTTTTATTGGCACTCACTTTTTCAACAGTGCCACACACTATACAGTGGTGCATCCTAACTTAATTTAACAATAAACAGTGAACCAAAGGCAAGCAGATTCCTATTGAAAATTTCTATCTTGATGCAACTTGAATATTTATTATCTTTTCCATTTTAGGTTGATTACTCAGCAACAGCAGAGGAGTTAGAAGCACATTTTCACGGATGTGGCTCAATAAATAGGGTTACAATTCTGTGTAATAAGTTTACTGGCCATCCTAAAGGGTTTGTTACACAGTAGTTCGAGAGTGATTATGTTCTGATCACCTTGAATTTAGAACAATACATGTAATATTTGATCGATGTTTAAGGTGGTAGAGATGATGGTGAAGGTCTTTTGTTGACTTGAATAGTGAAGATGATAGGAATCATCATAATTTGTCAACAACACATCATTAATATTATAACAAGAAATTACAGTATTTTCATTAATTTTGAGTTATTAATATTCAGTGCACCCTATGATTCAGGACCCCTCTTATTCTGAGACCCTCTACAGTAATTCGAGACCACTTCTCAAAGAAACGAATAATGATCTTCAAACTTTTAACACAAAGCTAACCCTCGCATTAAAGACCCAACCCTGACGATAACACAAATTTTTAAGTCCCACAAGTAGTCTTGAATTGGAGGGTAAACTGGAATATTGATGACTATGTAGTCATTAACAGATAACGCTATGTGTTACCATTGATGTTTAAATGTGTCTAGCTATGTTTTAATAGGTTTGCTTACATCGAATTTGCGGACAAGGATTCTGTGAGTACTGCTGTAGCTTTAGACGACAGCTTATTCAAAGGAAGGCAAATTAAGGTACAGTGCAAATATATAGGAATTTTGGTAAACCCTGATTTTACGAATACCCGCATTTACAAACGGCTCTGGTCTGTTCCGCACGTAATTGAGCGGTTCTGCTGTATTTGTGCAGCATTCTGTGTTAACTTATTTCAGTTTTTCTAGGGATAGATTAACAAGCTTGTGTTCTCTTGGTTGACAAGTTTACTAAAAAAAAATTTTTTTTCAATTTAGGTGAATCCAAAGCGAACAAATCGACCAGGAATATCTACCACAGACAGACCACCAAGAAGACGTGGTACAAGGCGCGGAAGTTATTCTGGTTATAATCCATTTTTTTCTGGGTATACACCAAAACGACGGCCTGGATATAGGTAAGTGTCAGTTCTATGGGATTTGTAGACTAAGTTAAATTATGTTATTTGAATTTTTTTGTAGAATACCTGTATATTGGTTTCTTTACCTTGATTTTTATCTACTGTAGGATTAGTTGTAATTTAATCATTGTAATTAAATACAGTTTCAATCATTACTTATATGAGAGTATATATTATTCCAAGTTCTAACAATTTTTATTTATATATCTTTCATTATACTATATTGTACTAGAGTAGAATTTAATAAATTTGTTTACTGCAATTTTTCAAGAATTATCGATGTTTTATTGATGTTATAAATTAAACAGATTGGAAAAATGAATATAAGAAGTTTGATAATAGTAACAACGCCTATTCTGGCCTTTTCCTGTCATTCAATTTAATAGTATTGCATACAGTAGCTTTACTTAAAATTAGATAATTTTACATCTATTTAACTTAAGATTAAATCTAAGTTAGGCTTCGATAATAAATTGCTATGCTTAGTGCAGTCTGACCAAAATTCTGGAAAGTTTAATTTGAAAGCTACTTATATTCTATCATTATTTTTTACCTTTTTTGACAAAATATGATGTGTATGCAAAGCAGTGGTTCAGTTTTTTTAATAGTGTTATTTAAAAAATAACGGTGAGTAGAAATATCTTCAGAACGAACATCAATTAACAATAAATAATGCTTGTTCGCATCAGTTAATAGAGTTCTACTGTTAGAACTGTAGCTGCCAAAACCGAAGCACTATCAGACAATAGGGTGGCCACAGCCAATAATATATGATCCAATTAATTCTTACAGTACATGTACTTTTCCTAATGTGTCTTCTTTTTGGTCAACCACTACCATGCTTTCTATTTACATTCTGCCTTCGAATGCTTTATTATCTCAACTTTGGTGTCCCTTGATGAAGTGTTAAATGCAATTCATTTTCATTCTCATCCATTCTTGTGTTATTGGTTGGTGTCCATTTTAGTACTCTATTAGCATTTTATTTAATATCTACAGTATTTACTTCATTTTTATAGCTTCTATGATTGAATCTGCTTCAAAGTTTGTAGAACCAACCTTCTAATCCAATGGTTATGTGTTCCCATCCTTCAAATAGTGGCTCCAGTAGGGGGTGGGGAACAGGCTGCTATTGGGAAATCCAGGTTTTAGCCCGGTTGGGGAGGAAAAGAGACATTATTTTCTTGGAAAACACTACTTTGAAAAAGCATTCTTAAAGTGCCATTTTCGGGCATCTATAAGTGGCTATTAAAATTTGGGTGTAGACTCCCTGTTGGGGACCTTGTATAGAGTTCAGGTATCAAATTAATGCAATAAAAATGAAAAACCACATGTGACTGAGAAGGTTGTAAGCTTCTTTCTATTATTGCGGTAAAGTAAATTACAAACCATGTGTCTTTTTATTTCATTACAGAGGCAGGCGTTACCGTTATTCCCCATATTAAGACAGTATGATTGACAGTGAAAAGAAATAAAAAGAACAAGCTGTGAATGGGGTAAAAGAAGAAAAAAAAGATAAAAAATGTACCACATTGATGAAAAATACATTTTGATCTTAAAACATTAAGGCTACTGGGAAAAAATAACAAAAACTCTACAAGAAAATTCATGTTGACTTTATGCAGTAGCTTCACAGAAAATTTGCCAAAGTTTTCATTCATGCAATTCAACAAATTCTGCATGTGAAAAAACCTCTTTGTTATTTAAATGTTTATTGAAGTTCCATCAACTTTTATATGATTACCAATCATTTTAATTTTTTTTATAAAAATAATTTTATTGGAATGCTTATTCAAATTCGGAAGGGGTCTCTTTGTTTGTTGCTGCTGTTTTTTTCTCTTCACAGGTTACCTAGCAACATCAGGAGATTCAGGATTTTATAATTTGATGATGGGGCATAATGGGATATTTAAAAAAAAAAAAAAAGAAAAAGAAAATGCCTTATTCATAAGAAAAAAAAATATGGGGAAAGAATGAAAAAAAAGGCAAAAAAAAAAAAGATGAAAAAAGACCATATGAAAAAAAGATGGGAAAATAACAAAGAGAAGGAAAAGATATAGTAGTAAAAAAAGTATGAATTGTCATGGAACAGGAAGATGTCCCTTTGAATTGAAATGGAGGATTCCGGACCAGTGACAAGATGAAACAGTCAAGTGGTAACCATATTGGTGTGGATAGGTACCAATGATGCTCCACTGATATGCTTAACTGTAAATTTAATAGCAATTTTTTATAAGATAGCTAGCTATTTTCTTCATACTAGTTAGTGTAACAACAATGCTATAATATAATCCATATTATATCCAGGTAGGGATCTAAACAGTGATTGAGAACACCTGTTATAACCTATTTTAGGGGTATTTCTACTTACTACAGTTTAACTCTGTTACAGATAATTATTATTGTACTGTATGTTTGTTTTACCAATAGAATTGTAGTCAATTAGGTTCACAAATGTAGTGTGCATTTTTATCTATTGTAATGTTAAAAAAAAATCAGTAGTATGAAGGTGATATTTAGTGCCATATAGATCCACTTAATAGCATTCCTGTATATGATCTTTTTTTGAAGTACAATATTTAATTAAAAAACTTCTTTCAAATTATCTTAATTTTTAAACAAAATGTATTGATATACATCGATGCCTTATGCCCCAATAAATTTAACTGTTTTATCCATAAGGCATAATTAGGAAATATAAATGATACCTTAGTGTGCAAAGGCAACTGTGCTACACAAGTAGTAGTATTTTCAATACATTGTTTATAAGCGGTATTAAAGAGGATAGGATTCTTGTACAGTGCACCTTTGATTTTAAACACCTCAGTTTAGAGAGATAAATTCCTTTTAAATCTAATTACTGTAAACAATTTTCGTAAGAGCTTTCTGATGTAATGTATGTTGTGAGTGTTGAGGTTTACCTGAGGATGAATAAAGATTAAAAACAGGATACTGTATTGTTGAAGGATTTCCTTTTCCAACTTGTTTATCTATGGATATGCATATTCATAATATAAATTTAGAATTTGGAGCTCGACATCAGTGCAATGTCTGGCAGTTGTTTTTTCTTCTGTTGATGCTGCTTGGCTGTGCCGACATCCCTGTTAGAGCTACAGCTGCCTCCATACAGTAGTCACATGATTATTCTACAGTGGGAGTACTTCTGTATTTACATTTATTGTTGGGTTGTTTGAGATGAGTGAGCTTGTATGAAATGCAACATTGTGTAAAAAGAATGAAGCTGAACACACAGTATTACACTATCAAACTTGTTTGTCAGACCTAATGAAATTACCACCTGGGGGTGTTGAAACAACAATTTTGAATCATTTTTTTTTTCGTAGTACAGTACAGTACTAATAAAATTGATACTGTATTGTCACTGGTCTTAAACAGGCATTTGATAATGAATACCTGCTTGGTTGTTAGTTTAAAGTGGGCCTAATGAGACTTGCCTGGTATAGAATCTTACAAGATGGCTCTCTTGTCTTGAGGATTAACCAGAAAACTTTGTCTACAGTATTGCAATGATGTCATAAATAAAGAAGCTGTTGGCCACCAACACACTGGATGTGCAACCTGATAGGACCTAATAGTACTATATAAACTGTCTATTGCAAATTTTGCAAGTCCACGTACAGATGTGTGTATCATGATATAAAGAATTTCTTCACAGACCTACAGCGTCAAGTTTTTTTTTTAACCCCATTGAGTTTGAATGCCTTATTGCAGCTCTTAAACCAAAGAAGACATTACATTAATTTAATGATGCAACCTACCAAAATGAAACATATAAGTAAAACATTCATATAATACATACCATACTTTATTAGTAAAATTTACAGTATTTAGATAATATTTTGATGATTATTTACATGAAACATCACGATTTCACATTATATTTAATTAAAAATCATGTCTATCAACGAGGATTCAACTCCAAGACACACCAGCTACCGTCCATTGCACTATTATATGCAGTAGCAAACCTGAATACTCTGCACAGAAACCCTTGTTGCTGCCGACAGGTTCATCTTCCGTAAGTAACGCAATTTCCGCAACTGTAGATCCATTTGTGGACTGGTGTTTCATCAGGCAAGCACATACACAGACAGGGGTGCCAAGTTGGGAAGCCACTTCCAGAAGATCTGGTTAAATGAGCACCTTAAGAGTATCAAAGGCCTATACAATGATTTGGGGTGGGGGAAGGAAGCTGTATATCCCTGAACAAAAATTGTAAAGAAATGATAGAAGAAATTTAGGTTACTCCATGGTTACAGGAACATGGTTATTGTGTGACAGTATAAGTTACATAAATGCTTTGAAGAAGCTGAGGAACCTATGCACTGTATAGTAAGTTGAGCCTTTATACACAGTATTAGCTTTACAGAACAGCCAGATAACTTTTTAATAAAATTTAGATTTCAATCTTGAACCATCATAGCAGACACTTCTGTATCAAATGTTCTGAAAAAGTAACAAAAAAGTAGAATATTACAAATTACATTTACAGTAGGCCTAGGTTAGTAATGCAGTATTACAACATAGTGCATGATCACCTTTATACTTAACAAATATTTATGAGGGAAATGGGAAAAATATTTTCATGAAATAAAAGACAGAGTGTCCATTCCACAAGACGGATCTGAATTGAAAATATTCTTTCTATTGCACAAATAAAAAGAACATTCACTATAACGTGATAGATTTAATAATAAAAACATTGTACCCTGTATGTATGTTTATAACAAATGTGTGAAATGGAACAAAATGAATGAATACCAATAAAGTACAGTATGAAAATGGAAGAAAATTACATGAAGGAAGATGAAGATAAATAAAAGAAAATTAATTTGCCACTAAATGGTGCAAATACCTAATGTCACATAATCCACCAATCACATGACAAGGATTTATTTAAGTGAAAGCTAAATTCTAACTAACTTACTTTGATGTTATGTTTTCTCCTGGTGTATAGAATGGATTGCATAGCATATCAACGTATGCATTATGAAGCTTTCGGAATTTCTGCATTGGGAATAAAAAGAAATAGTTAAATAAAATGTTTAAAGAAAGATTTTATAAGGAATGAATAGCTTTCTAAATTTTTAATCTTTCAATCGTTTTTGTTAATTTGCCTTTCTTCCTGCTTGTCATAAGATGTGTCGTAGGTAGTTGTTCTTGTATAGTTCAGGGGCGCTTGTCATGATAAGATGTGTCGTAGGTAGTTGTTCTTGTATAGTTCAGGGGCGGATCCAGGTGGGGGCTCATGGGTGGGCCAGGTCCCTAACCAAAAAAAAAAAAAAAAAAAAAAAGATAGAAAAAGAAAGGGGAAAAGGAGACTAATTTTCAATTTAAATTCCATTTACCACTGTCTATGTTGAAGCATTTCTAAACACAAATCTTAAACACTAGGCCCTCTACTCGATCCTTTGCTCCTTGCATGTCCCCTACCCATATTTCCCTCTGGATCCGCATCTGTAATACATATGTTGTCCTCAATAATGTTGAAATAAATATATAAATAATAGTAATTCGAAGAGTAACTTACACTTCTTATTTCATTATCTCGTAGTTGTGTATTTGATGACTCCACTACAATTACAAACTTGACTTTTGTGTTAGTCACATACCCATAGACTTTGTAGTCTTCTGTCGGGTAAAGCAGTCCGAGGTACAGTTCTCTTAGTTCATTGATTGTCTTCCCAACAGTTAAGATCTTTTCTTCTATTACATCCAAACATGTATGTACAGTGTAGTAAAATTTCAATTCATTTTCTGTTGGTATTGTTCGAATGTATAATGGATAATTCTGAAGAGAAAAACAGAAAATGTATGTATTTTCAGGCTAGGATTTATTACAAGGGCCTAGGTGTAGGAAAGCCTAATTATGAGAATATCAATCCCTTTTCTTTTGTTAACAACCTTTAATATTAATGACTGACGTGAGCTGAAATGCTGTTGTTGTGTTTTTTTTTTGTTTTTTTTGTCTTAGTTAAATTGTAAATAACATGCAATTTGACCCTTGGCCACGAAATGTTAAAATATTATTATGATTGAAAAAGGATAGGATAAGGCCCCTTAAAATAATTATTAGTTTATCACCCCTCCCTCATCACTTTTGGGGAAATTCAGATTTTTTTTTTTTTTCAATCAACATATATTTTTATTTCAAACAGTCGTTTTTCCATATTTTTCACTTAAAAAGCTCAGGATTTCTTGTAATTATGTTTATTGGTACAGTAAAATAAAAACATATTTTTTGAATATAAATTTGATTCCATTCTTATGACTTTTTATATATGTGTCCCTAACAATTGATTTACTATTAACTTGTGAACATCGGTAAAATGGAGGCGAGGTTGGCAAAAAAAAAAATCCTCCCTCCCTCATCAGTTTTTATTCTTTGATATATAATAATAAATAATAATAGTTGGACTTGTAGAGCGCATCATGCGAAAAAGCCTCTATGCGCTAAAAAATATAGGGCCTAGCCTAGGCCCTAGACCTAGGGGGATAATAATTTTTTTTTATGGGGCCTAATAAATTAAGTAAGCCTAGGCCTTGAGGTAGGCTATCATTCCCAACTTCGGCAGGCTACACAACAGCAGACAGAGGGATGCACCTGGGCTGGCCTAGCCTAACCTAGGCTAGGCCTGCCTACAGTACTACAATAGTAGTATGCCTAGTACTACTACTAGGCTAGGCCTAGTACTACTACTACTATGTAGGCCTAGGCCTAGTACTACTAGGCCTATGCCTAGCCTAGGCCCTAGAATAAAAATGACTTTAAAATTCCGTTTATTCATCACTGAACAACAAAAATAATTTTGTTGCGCTAGTATATAAAGTTTTTATGAATATACAAAGAAAAAAACAAACCTCTTTCGCTATCACAGCTACACACACGGCCATTTTCTATTTTATGTCTTCAAAACGGATGGATCCACCATCAATCGATTACTAATATTCGATCAATCGTGATCGATCGCGTGTGCGGCGCGAGAGAGACAGAGAGTATGAATCGCGAGAGCTAGCTGAGATGATAGGCCTAGCATGAAGAAAAGTAATTTTATGTGATAAACTAACAAACATAGGCCAGGCCTATAGAATTCTTAAAATGGAAAGCCAAGTTATGGAAACAAGAGCGCCAACTCCCGTTCCAATATTATGGTTTGAATTTTTGTTGAATCAGGATCAACTAAAGAAACATTTATCTGAGCCTGGTTCAGGTGAGCGAGATGAGAATTAACTAGGCCTAGGCTAGCCTAGCTTGGGCCCTAGCTAGCCAAGGACTAGGCTATGGTCTAGCCCAGCTTAGGAGGTCTGCCATGGTGGTGGTGCAGCTACTACTATTTGTACTAGCTAGGCCTTGACATAAGACTTACTGAGTGGTTGCTGAGGTTCAACTTAAGACACCTTGCTGTGTTTTTTTTTGGCTTGATTTATTTGCTTTATTGCAGTGATTTTTAAAAGTTTTATTATAAAAAATGTACTTTCCTTTTCCCTCCCAGATCCCAGTGCTTCACAATTGTTGATGCAATTTGTAGACCAGTCGATTAAAGCACAGAGTAGTTTAGAAACTTCTGTACAAGTCAAAAAAGTGAGAGATCTAAAGATTCTTGCATTGAAGGTTGCTGCTCATATGAAATGGAATCTCAGTCTTATTCAACAAAGGTAAATTTTTAAAGAAAAAAATGCCTGAATACAAAAGCATGTTAATGTAAACTCAACATCATCGTCATCCTTATCATCTTTGTCGTCCTTATCTCATCATGAGCTTCATCTTCAGCATCATTTACTTTGTCCTCATCATCATCAATATCATTGTAAATCATTGTCATCATAAAAAAAAATAAAAAAATAAAAAATCATCATATCCATCATCATCATCATCGTTCATCAATCACCCTCATTAACATCAACATCATCATCATAGTGATCATAACATATTTGTCTGGGAAAACAAATTCCATTGCTATGATACAGTATTTGTCTTGGAAAAATATTAAATTGCTAAAATCTTAAATTATAATGAAAAAATATATTTATTCTAATTCACATATAATATCATTATTATCTGTATCATTATTTGAGACTTCAATTATCATATAATATCATATCATTATCTTTATCACTATTTGAGATTTCATTGATTCTTAAAATACTTTCTGCAAAAAAGAACAACATTCTTCTGTTTTTAATTTTCTATATTTTATTCTGTTTTGTTACAGCTTGCCTTTGTACATGGTGCACAAATTACTAAAGGATTTTATGGAGATAGTGTCAAATCCAGAATTAAAGCAACATGTGGTGACCAGTAATGACCTCTTGGATGACCATATTATGATGGCTTTTATGCTGTTTAACAGGTGGTAAGCAAACTTAAACAAGGTTTCTAAATTATTATTTCCATAACTATTCTTCATAGACTTACTGTATCAAGAATATCTAAACAAGTATTGCAAAATGTCGCAGTAGAAATCAGTGTATCGACCTACCACATACCCACATTACCTCCTGGATGGAGAGAGTGATGGCCTTACTAGTCTTTTGTATGATGAATCGATGTAACAAAACGTAAACAAGTGACCTGCCAGGGTCACAGATTTCAGATTGCATTCCCCAATCTTGCAATCTTTACTTTGAGATCAAGTATTTTGTGGGCTGATCTTTAAAGTTTGAAGTAGATTGCATTTCTGTGCATGATATTTAATCATTCTTCTTGACTACACAGGTCAGTAAGAGTGATAATTGAGAGTAGCTATCCAACAAAGCCACCGAAAGTAACAGGACCACAAGCTCCAAATGGGTAAGTTGAATGCTGATAATTATTGAGTGATTTTCTTATTAATTGTAATTATTCTTTATATTGCATGTACTTTCATTTCTTGTTTCAAGTTTTTTTAAAGTGGTAGAGTTAAACAAAGTATATAGAATAGAAAAGAAAATAAACATCGACAAAATCTATACAAAAAAAATCAATGTAAAAAGTTCTGGAATGATAATAATGTCATATCCTTAAAGTTAATTTTAGTTTCATTTGGAACATCATAGCAAATGTTGTTACTACCAAAAGCATACTGGTTGAGGAGAAACTAACTTTATTGATTATAAAAAATAAAACTGTGTGAGGGAAAAAGTCATTAGACAGCAACTTTTGGCCCTTGTTCAAGATCGTATCACAGGGTTATAAAGAATGCACTGTAAAAGAAGGGTTTTTTTAAATCATTGATATTGAGTCCATTTTTTGTTTATGATGTTATCTCCACAGAAATGCTTCATTGAATGTTGCTGGGATAAATGACATGGTGATAAAAACTGTAAGTTAAATTTCATTCAACCTATATATACAGTAATGCAGGTGCAATAACATGCAGTACTTATATGCTAACAACAACTTTCAACTTCTTTTCTTATTTTCTTTTCTTGTTTTTATTACACATATTATCAAAGTTCAAAGTAATATACTTCTTAATTGAATGGATGTCATTTTTCAGGTTTGTGATATGACTAACGAGAGCATTCTGTTTATGGAAAACAGCTTATCAATGACCCGTGACATCACGCTCCCAACCTTTGACACTATACACAAACTTGCATATGAGTTTCAAGCTTTCCTTGGCACTCCTATTGAGAACCAACAGCGCATCTCAAATGCAGAGTTCATGCAGCAGCTCTGCTATGACCTCGGGAGCTACTACTTTCACCGAGGGTTGGCTGAGAAGACAGCTGGTATGCTGAAACGAGCTCTAGAACTAGAGCCACTGGTAAGTTGTTATTTTCCTTTGAAAATGCCAGTCACTCATCTTGGTGAACCAAGAACCGACATTCATTTTTCAAGTCTGTTTCATGATCTTGCAATTGGTGGTGTGTACATTGAGTATGCTTCACTATAGTGTACTACAGTTTTACGTCACAATACCATGTGATACTACTCCGTTGCTCTCATTGCTAAAAGTGTTCAACTGGACGCCATTTTCTTCACTGACAAATTGATCCCAATTTCTAACGTAATTTTTAGGATTTTGTATCTTACTTTTTCTTTGTAAATTTTAATTGATGATTAAATGTGTGTTCAATAACTAATATAATGCGAGCTTTTGTGTTTTTAGTACATTTTGATGGTAAAATATTAGATTTTAAAATGCCTATTCCAGAAAGCCTATGAAGTCATTCAGGCATAATGAATGGTAACCAACGTCTGTTGACAAAAGAGAGCACCACCTGGCGTCATGAAGACACGACTGTGGTACTCTATGACTTGCTTTTGAATTATTTTGTTTTTTCTGTATTATGTATGGTTTTTACTGGAAATTATCTGACATTATGTTATATTCATTCATGATTACTTTAACATAGTACTAAAGATTATAGAATGGCAAGAGATTCGACTTTTGGGGTTTTTTTGTTTGTTTTACTTATTAACAGGAGATTATTCAGTGGCCCTTTTACAAGAACAAGTCCTTAAAGACTAGGGACCACCGACTTCCTTAAATGTAACTTACTGGTGCTTAAGTGAAAAACGGAATTAAACAGAGAAACAATTATGATATACTTTTGAACAATAAATAATACAATTTTGTTTTTTATTTCGGTCTGTACTGCCTAACTACTAAATCAACGTTCTGGAAACTATGGTCCGCAGCCCAAATTTGGGCTGCGAACCATTTTTGGAGAGCTGCGAAGCCGTCTGGAAATTGAAAAAAAAATAACAAAGAGACGTTTCATCATGGAGAAAATAGTTTTAAATAAAGCCACTTCATTGTTACAGTGAATGCCTCACTTGCACATGCTGCTAAAGTGGCAGATGATGCGTGCTATTTGAGTTATAAGCGTTTGTGTTATCATCTAGTATTAACCTGTAAGATCGAGTAAATCCGGTTTGGAGGAATGATGGGATTAGTCATGAGCTAAAGACGAAAATAAATATAAGACCTGTCCAAGAAAGATCACTACAGTAAACAACAACACACATTTCTTGATAACCGAATGCCCATGGGGATACTTTATTACTAAACATAATACCTGTATAGTGAGGTAGTCTTTCAAAGTTGTGGAGTAACAGAGTGTGCGTAAAAGTTTTTGGAAGAAGGAGAAAGCTATGAAGTGTGTGGCTGAACCGTGTTTGGTTGAATCATGGTAGAAAAAAAAACAACAATTGTGGGGGAGGGGGACCACAAATGTAAAGTATTATTTATTTAATAAAATAATATTTAATTTAAATACAATGAAATTTTATCACTGAGAGAACAGATAATGATGTCAAAATATTGTATATAGGGCCTACATGGAAGCTTCATGATCAAAAGTTCTTGCCAGGATTTGGTATGTTGGTCACTGGTTCGGCTGGGCCACGACTTGGTGCCTGGAATTGTAAATAGGCCGTGAAGTAAAAATTTTGGGGAACGCTGTACTAAATAATGGTTAAAAAAGACAAATCTGATAAATGTAAATTAGGATTGTTTATGAACTTTTGGGGTTTCTTTGAAACAAACTAGAGGGCGTCCTTTAAAAAAAAAAGATATATACACATACAGTTGTTTGTATTGAATACGTACTGCTTTTAAGTAGCCTGTTCGCTTTTTTCTAACTCTCTTGGAATCAAAATAGGCCACCCTCTATCTTTATATTTTCCTTTCGTTGCTTGCATGCAAATCAAGACAGTCGAACCTCTTGACATTTTATACTCTTTGATAGTACCATGCCTACCAGACTCTCCACTGCCTTAATCATTGTCAACAATATTATTACAACCTTTTTCCAAAGATTTGTTTGTACCAATAATATTTGCAACATTGCCATCCATGTTTGTAGGACATCTGTTTCTTGTGTTTTTTTTAGTTAAGCTCCCAGAATATTATTATTTATTAAAGGTGCATGATCCTATCTATAGCGATGTAAACAAACAGAAAATGAAAGGTTTGTGTGCAGCATGCAATATAGCCTTCATGTCCCAGGATTCCAAACCCAGTCTGGAGCAAAGACTAGCAACTAGTAGGAAAGAACATTATAAAGTAAGTTTTTCACATATCATGCTATTGAAGTACTGTATTATTATTATATCAGAATTACATAATTGACATTGTATATCTACTAATAAATGAATATTTGTCATCATTTTCTAAAAGAAGTTTGCTATTAAGATTTTGTATATATATTGTAGAGTTTATGTCATTTTACACTTCAGGATTTAGTTGATATACTTATTGAAGATAACCTTGTGAAGAAGATAACTCTTCCATATAGACAGCTAATCCAAAGTGAGATTCTGAGCAAGCAGCCTACCAGTGAACTTTACTTCCAAGTCTGCACTTGTAATGCAGTCCGGAAGATAACAGACGGAATGTCCGTCAGTCCACAATACATTGCACTACTCAAGACTGCCACCAAAGAGCAAATGAACTTCTTCACAATGGTAATTATTAGTTTTTCTTTTATCATCAACCACAGTCTTCAAGCAAGCACCATGTCATGTCATATCTTAGTTAATATTACAAAATTTTGTGAAGACGGTTAGAGTATACTAACTGAAACGTTGGGACATTACCATCCAAACTGTTCTTCTCAGAACCAAAATAACATAATTGAGATTAGTAGCATATGCCACATGGTGTGCCAAAAGCCTACTGTATACTGTAATTACTTTCGCCCGTATTCTTAAAACAAACTTTAGTCGAACTTTGAACTAGAACTTCATTTAGTGCTAGTTTTAACTTCAACCTCAATTTGTATTCACAAACAACGTAGTCGAAGTTTTAACTACGACTAAATCAAGTCCTAGTTTTAGTTCAACTGAAGATGACTGGCAAGCAACAACTATCAAACTAACCAATGAAAAGAGCTAATTTTAATAGCACACGAAATTTTAGAGATCCGGTAATGCGGATGAATATTAAGCTGCCGTCTGTGGTTCAAAAACGTATTTCCTCATAATTCATAATAGATCATCATTCGCTTAATTAATTTTCTATAATAATAACTATATTAGTTGTTAACATATTACGATAGAGAATTTGAACAGTCACTGAAAATTTGCTTTCTTTGGAGAACTGTTATAGTTGAGCCCGAGCGAGGGCGGCGCCATCTTTGTCATTGTTATGGCGAAGCTACGTGACCGCAGCGCGAGGGGATTTCGTGCAAATTAGGAACTATCGCATGTGGCTGGAAGAAACATGATAATTTCTCCTTTTAGAAGCTGAACGTGATGTCTCTTTTGTTTAACACACCGAAGATATATCAAACCTGCGTATACAATCGTTTTTCTTCGTTTCACTTTATCGTGAGTTACAAAAAATATGTTTTTAGTGGGGTTAATATTTCATGTCGGCGATTTAGCCTGACCCTAGGCTGACTAAAAAAATCGGCTGTGGAGGTGTCATTTTAGTCGAGGTTCGCGTCATTTAGTCGGAGAGCTAGTCGAAGTTCGTTTTAAGAATACGAAATGACATAATTTTTAAGTTTTAGCTCGAACTATGACTAAAGTTCGTTTTAAGAATACCGGGGTTTGTGTTTTATAAATTACTTATGAAAAGATCAACTGTTCACTTCTCCATAGAGACCATCGCTTAATAATTATTATGGAAACATTTATTTCTTCTGATACTATTTTAGTCTTCTTATACACACATTTTACAGATATTTTACCAATTTTCATAGTTCCAGAGGTACAATGTATTTAAAGATGACCTTTTATGTATTTTTATGTGTGTATTTTAAGGTTTGTTGGAAGGCTGTGCAAACTTCAGATGAGAAATTTAAAGAAAGGGTGAAATTATTCATTAGGTAAGCTAGCAGAATCATTCAATCACAAACATTTAACCAAAGTTCATGTAAGTGTAATTGAATTGTTTATTTATTTTGTGATATATCATTGGATACTGCTTGTAAAAAAATAGACACAGAAATGTCCACAAAAAGGAAAGCAAGCAAGCAAATCATTGGCAGATCCAGGAATTTGAAATAGAGGGAGCCCCTGGAGGAACTTTCACAGATGGAGGGTCCAGACTACCTCAGTCCCACCATGGTTGGGGCTGAGGTAAGAAAATTTATGTTTATGGCCAGCAATTGCGCTCTCAGACTTAAATTTGAATATTTTCTTTTTTTTGTCGATTGTTTTAAAAATAATTAAGGAGGCATTCCGGGCCACCTACCCTCCCCCACCCTGAATCCACCACTGCAGATTAAAACAGTTTTAGCAAAGTTCGTTTACTGGTTAATAAAACAATTCATATCTCATTGTTGTGTTTAGTTTTTGGTTTGTTTATAAAAGTTATTGTTATAAGTTGTTGTAAACTTTCAATAAAACAAATCAAATCAGAATTTAGAGACAAAAGTGTTTCTTTTTTGTTTTACTAATTACTTTCTGTTTCTGTTGTGAAGAACTATTTACACTTCCACGAATGTTTTGAAAGCTATCGGATCAAGTGAACTGAAACAACTGTTCACCAAGGAGGAGTTTACAAAGCTTGTCGACCAGATGGACAGCCAGTCACAGGCGCCGTTCTCGATTAGAGCAAACACAGTTTTGCAACAGAAAGGTACAGCATTTCCATAGAATCAGGTGGTGATAACTAATAGGCCCAAAAAATAATAAGAAATAAAAAAGAATGGACGGTTTATGATGAATAGAGAATTATCAGTATCAGTAAATAGATGTGTTAGACCCAAATGTAACACAATCATTTCTTCATTTGGTTTATTTGTTTGTTTTGAGGGGGATCTCAAAGTAATCGTATGAAGTTTGAAAAGGGTACTTTTAATTTGGTACTTAAACTATGGATTTTAGCACAGTGATTAGCATTTTTCGTGCTGTACGACACTTATTTAAGGAAAATGCAACTTTTTATGCCTAAAGTAGTATTTATACCAGCATACTATACAGCCAAAAAAAAAAAAAAAATTTGTGTTAGCCACATTTTGGGAATATAAAAAAAAAAATGGGTAGGTCGGTAGGAAATTTTTTTTTAAACCAATACGGTGTATATGCCTAAAAAGTAAAAAATACACAAAAATACAACAAAGTTAATTTTTAAATCTATATTGAAGAGCAAAACGATCGCATAAAACTGTTGCATCACCTACTGTCCAGCAAGATAGGCATATTCCAGCCTTTTAACTCATTACAAAAAAAAAAAATTTTCGTTGTAGTCTAAGAAAAAAATAAATAAATAAAATGCCGAACCTCAATTTTGTACATTTTGGGTCAGTCAGGTTTGGCCAATACAATAATTTTTTTCATTTGGCCTAATGCAAATTTTAATTTCATCTAAATTCTATGGGTTTTGTTTCAGCAAACAAAGCTTTATATATAGGTCAGATAGAACAACAGCTTCTGATAACCAATCAGCACCAGCGAATTCAGACGTTGCTGACCGAGTTACATCGGGTTGCACCAAACAAACGCCACTCAAGTGTATCAGAGTTGGTAAGGATTCAAATGAAAATTAACAAATTACACACTCCTCTTCTTATTTTTCATTTACTGGTACAGTAATATGGTAACATTTGTAGAAGTAATCATTTTATTAGGGTTGATAAAAGCTAAATGCGAATTAAACATGAGTTTTAAAATAATATAAAAAATCCTCTATGAAAGCTTCGTGTCATTCATATTTAATATTGTGCATTCTTGATACAAATGTTTTGGAGCTTTTAGTGCATCATTTAGAATTCAAGCCATAGACAAGTCTGAAAGCAGAAAAACAAATAAATTATCATAAACATCTACTGCTACTGTTGTCCTACAATTATTTCTTATGCAAGCATGAATTTCCACAAAAAAAAAAATCAATTTCAGTGTACAGCTGCTAAGGAAAATGTTAAAGGAACCTTATTTTAAGTTCATTAAGATTTTGTTTTGACTTTCAGTGGAAAGTTGACAAGAGTTATTCATTCATCATCGATGGAATGGGAAACAAAAAGCTGCAAGACATCGTGTTTCTGATGTTGGTGAAATCAAGGCACTGTCTACAAATTAAGGTGTTTATGCACATGAGTAAATTTATGCAAATTATCCCAACACAAAATATGTTAGTGAAATGCATGCCTTATCAATCAAATTTGTTATTAATCAAAGAATTTCCTTAACAACGATAACAAATTCAAGGATAATAAAAAGATGAAATGGACCTCCAAGAAACTCCAGGGAGCTTGTAAATAGGAGGCCCAGTGAACTAAAGCAATTAATGGAGACAAAACCTAAGGGGAAAGGAACAAACCTAAAAAATAAATAAATAAACAAACAAAAGCTAACCTAACAGTCAAGTGATTATAGTTAACATTCAACAGGGACAGGAGAGAGGAGGGAAAGGAGAGAGGTATTCCATTGCCAGTACAACCTAGTTCTCTATCGAGTTGACAACAGAGGCAATGTTTGAGCATATATGAAAAAGTAATAATAGTAATGAGACCAGAAATTTTATTAACAATAATTGGCCTCATAACAATAATAATAATAATAATAATAATAATAATAATAATAATAATAATAATAATAATAATAATAATAAATAACAACAACGACGACGGTGGCGGCCTGGATTTTTAAGAGTCCATGTCTACAGAATATATGTGATACACTGTCCCTGAAATTAGTGAAAGTGATAACACGAAGGGCTTTTCTTTGGAGACATTTAATTTCGGTAAGGTAGGAGTCATACGTACAACCCCAGATGATGAGACAATAGTTAAGGATTGGTTCAGTGAGTGATCTGTAAATAGTAAGTAATGCATTAAAAGGGAGAAAATGTCTTACCTTGTATAGTATACCAATGTAGATAGAAACTTTTTTTAAGACAACATTTATGTGTCCTTTGAAGGAGACATACTCATCAATGTGGACCCAGAGAAATTTTGTCACATTTACGCTTTCAATTTTTTTTTACAATGTAACCATGTACTGATTTTACAATTATATCATCAGGATTTTAAGACTGCAAGGGCACTGCTGAGCACGGCATTTGATGCTGTGAAAGACACCTCTTTAAAGCTAGGCAAGGCTATTCAGCATGAGATTCTGCATGTGGAAATGTGTGCGCTAAAACTAGGCCAGCAGTCAGCTGTGGAGAAAAATAGCATGACCCACAAGGCTATGGGTTGCCTAGGAACAATGCAAAGTGGTAAAGGAATTTTTGTTTAAAAAGATCATATTAAGCTTGGCATTGAGAAATACTTCACAACCGCAAGGGAAAGACAAAATATATATACACTTTAGCAGTACCAGTACCATATAATAATATATTTTCGAGAAAAAAAATATTCCTTCTGTGAAAATTCAAAGGAGATTTATCAGCTTGATTTCATAAGTCAGTTGGTAGAGCAACCAAATTGTAAGCACAGGGTCTTGCATTCAACACTACATTTTTTTTGGTACATGGATTCAACAGTGCTTTTTTTAAACTATAATACAATCTCATGCTTTAAAGAGACTAAGAGAAGTATAGTGATTCGCTATGGCTTTTCTTAGTTTGTTTGGAGTCTGCATGATCTAAATATTACAGTATAATCAGTCTGATACCATGTTAAATTTTGTGTTACAACATTATTACAATATGACAATACAGTATGTCCAATGATCTAACTCCAAATAACATGGAGGCTTTACTCAACATCCTGCTCCATGACCATGCTCGTTGTCTCGCCACTCACAGAGGGCGCCCTTACAATTGACCTTACAACATGGACCACTTTTGTTTTTAAACTATGTGGTAACTATGTGGTCTATACTGGCTGTGTTGAACTAGTAATTCTTGAACAATAAATTATCTTCGTGAATTTCACAGCACCTTTACTGCTGGAATATAAATTACTCATTATCTATCTTATTTGTCTGTGCTAGATCGTGACATACCACCACGTCCAGAAATAGTGGAGCGTTGTGTATTATACTTGTTGAACTATGGAATGTGGTTTACTGTTTTGAATGTTAAGCAGAAACCACCAGTTGTCCAGGTGAGGAATGTGTAAATTGATTGTTTTATATAGAATACATAGTTTTCAACTATTGTATGTACATTATTCTTCCATAGGACCACATTTCCCCGACTCAGATGTTATACACCGAAAAACAATTCGCTTTTCCAATACACAAGTTCTGAACATAGCCTGAAAAGGCCTTCACTTAAGATGAAAAGTTATGCTTCTATTTCAAACGAGGTGTGTTAAATTGCTCAAATTTAGCCTTTCAGCTGAAACACAAGGGTATGTGTATGGAGGGTCTGAATTGGTGTTTTGCTAACTTGTATATTGGGATTACAGACAGTGAAATCTCAAAGGTTTAGGTTTTTTTTATACCTAAATTTTCCTAATGAGGAAGATATTCTGCTGAAATGTTACATATGAACATGCTTTAAGACCCCTGTTCTGTTCTTCTGTCTACAGCTTAGTCAGATGTTAGCTGAAGTTTGCAAAGACCTTTCCAACATCAACAGCTGCAGACGACAAGCTAAAGCATTGTGGGAAGCATTTGTTCTAGTGTTCAGTGGCTCAAACCAGTTAAAAAGAAGTGCAAACGGTAAACCAGTAGCTAACAAGATGCCTGGACAAGCCCTGATGTGTAGGTGTGTGATGCTGTTAGTGCAACACCTGTATAGTAGTAGACACAAATAATAGTAAAAATTGTGCTTCTGTTAAGATTCCTATGTCCAACTACACTAAGTGGTTTGGCGCAGCGGGAACGGTTTGGTTTCAATCCTTCGCTGTGCATTTCACTTGTGTCCTTGAGCAAGGCACTTTATCTGCATTGCTTCTCTTCACCCTGGAGTATAAATAGGTATCTGGTGGGGTTGCCTGCTCCTGCACCAATATGGCAGCAACACTTAAGCATGTGGACCTAATGACATCGGAAAACAAAGCGCTTTGTAACCTAAAAGAATAGGCACTATATAAATACTAAAATAACAATAACACTAAATTTTAATACAGTATATAATAGTATTTAATATATTATCCTTGCCAATCCACATGGGCTTATCCCCGGTTTCAAGTAGCGTGAAGTGGATGAGAGTGTGATGTTTGGTGGGTTGCTGGTCCGCTGCAGGTTATTCCAGCAATTTGTTGGTACCCATGAATAACAGCTGGGTTGACTGAAACAATGTAGATAATATGCCTTGCTCAAGGACACAAGCGAAATTGCACAGCAAACGATTGAAAACCTGACCACGAGGTTAGGAAAAACTTAACCGTTTGCACTGCACCAAACTGCCTCTATTTAATATATGATATACTGCATCAAAATAGAATTACTGTGTAGCATATAATTTAACAATACAACATGGACAGGGATAGAAGAATATGATATGGTGTTATGAAATATGATATATTGATGCATGTTTATATTTTTCGAATATTTCTGTATCAGATCAGAGTTCTTAAGTTTCATTCAACTAATTGAAGAACCAACGTGCATGGGTGTCATAGCATCATGTCTCATCAAGCTACATAATGTTCTCAAAGATGATGCTGGCAATGAGATTTACCATCAGTACCCCAACTTATGGCCAACAACCATTACAAAGTATGTTCTTAGTGCATTCTTTTCTACAACAAACTTTCAAACAATTACTTTTTATAAAGATAACACTGGCTGTGTTAAACTAAAGAATAAAGTAATATTCAATATTTGAATTGCTTATTTTGTATATATAATAGTAATAGTGTAATTTTATATAGCGCACAAATCATCTAATGTAAGATGCTCAGGGTGCTAGAAATGTGGACTAGGAACTCGATCAATGACTTTCTTCGCCCCTAAGGGTCCCTTCGTGTCTGGGTAACCCGGTACCAGCAACTCTCGTCGTCCACCACAGGGGCTGTCTGTTCCAGTACACCGGGGTATCCCCCTACTCGTCTCGAAGGATGTACTGGGTTCTTTATAGTGCACACGAGCCATTGTGTACACCTGTCTCTGGGCCTACGGTTTATAGTCCTTATCCGAGAAGACTTGTTCTACCACCAGAACCATAGGCGAGCGTGCCGTTCGAACCAGCGCCGATATTATGGCTATAGCTTGCGGTGCCCCTGCTAACTGACTCACCATCAGACTCACCAGTGATTAAGTTACTAGCTTCAATTGAAAAAAAAATATTACCATTTTGTATTGACACTATTGGCTATTATATGTCAATCGTGACATCATCACTGCAACTGATGACTACTGCAGCAGTTAGATTATAAAACTAACATTAAAAAAAGGTGATTGACTTATAAAGCAATTAGTATAGTGCTTATCTATACACTAGAGGAAATTATTGCAATTAGGTTAGATTAATGCATTAATACAAATTTTGTTCATGCATCCATCTAAAATTTGTATAATAACTTCCACTAGTGTATGATACACAACTATTCCAATTGCTTAGTATATAATTAATTTGTGGATTAATAATTGATAAAAATGAATTCTTTGGTAATGTGAACTTGAAAACTGTTCAATAGATTTAAAGGTTTTAAGTTTTCTCCCGAATTTTCCACACACATTTTGTAGTTGTAATGAGGTTTTACACATCATCATCTATCAATATCAGTTGCCCAATGAGTGACCTTTCATATCATATATATCACAAATGACACTTGCAAAAACGTAATTGATTGCCTTTTATTGTTTTCACAGTGTAAGTTCAGTTATTATTGATGCAGTGACAGCAGCAATGACACAGTATGTCCAGCACATTATTACCCACAATCCTCATCAGTCTTCATGGTTGAAATCACAGGCAGACATTTATTATGGTATGTCTATCTTTTCCTTTAGTCATGGCCTCATCATTTTAAATGCTACAAAGTACTGTTTTATTGTTGATTCATTTTTCAAATTCTAATTCTCCCAGATGAAACTACTGTACTAGGTTAGTGGTAAAAACATTACAGAAAATAAGTAACTTTCTACTTTAATATTTGGAATTTGGAAAGAATCAACATTAACCGATAATCTTCATTCCAAATAAATTTGTTAAAGGACTGAAAAGTGTTCTTGTAAGGACATGAGTATTGGCTTGTGCATCAATCCTTTCACACCTTTAACCTCCCGGGCATCAGTTAATGCCTCGTGGGCAAAAGCACTCGGAACTCTATATCTAAGTAATTATTACTGTTTATTTTCATGTGATCAGTTAGCTTTAAAGTAGTATGAAGCTTCTATTAAATGTTTTTTTAACCTAACCTGTTTGATTGAGATAGTGTATGAAACAACCATGTCTGTAATTAATATTCACTTTAGGTGAAAATCCATAAATATTCTGATTTGTAGAATGAACAAAATTCACAACATCTCTTTTCCCAGGTGACAGTCAGCATGCCGCTGCTATCAAGTTCTACTTGCAGTCTGCAATGTTGCCTAGCAACTTTTTCACATCACCAGTTCCCAAGCAACTGTGGGACGAGGAGGTGTATCGACGAATCATCAAATGCTGCTCGTATTTGAAGTGTCATACGCAGGTAGCTGTACTCTGTCAGTTTCTGGAGCCTATAGACCATCCAACAGCCTTCAAGGCATTGCAAGAAAGGATATGGTAATGTTAGGCTATGACTACAGGACAAAATTAAACGAAGTTTTTACAATTTTCATTACTAAATCCAAGGAAGATATTAAATATGTGGTTTGTCCGATATGTAACTTCCAATAATGTGTTTTTTTTTACAATTCCATGTTCAACAGTAAGACAGGATGCATTTATGGGATGCTTTATATATCCTGTTATGAAAGTTAAAGCAGGGCACACGCTGATAACTTGACGATGCAATGACGACATCAGTTATTGTACTAAGTACTGGCTTTCCTTGCTTAAATCAATTAAATCTGCTACTCACCTCAACCAATTTAAAACTAAGCTAAAAAAAAAAATCAGATTATCGAAAATATCGCTGTGTGTAAATTAATAATAATAATGATAATGATAATAATGATAATTAAGTATGTTATGATTATTGATATGTTTCATGACAACAATACCCAAAGCACTCCTCATTAATCATTCATCTGTTTAATTTGTCCCGTTCTTCCCGGCTTGGCTTGCTTGTTTGTTTAATATCTGATTTTGTTATTGAAGATTTGTTTTATTACTTAAGTTTAATTTAAGATTTGTCCAGGAGCCTAATTACAGGCCTTGACCTCTTTGGTTCCCAGCACTTGTTTGTAGGCCTACTGGTGTATTAGTTAAGAGAACAAGTGAATAAAATTAAAAGTAAAGTACTGTATTGTTTGTGACAGTCAGAGCAGATCATCATTAAAAACAATCTGATACACATGTCTCATTGCGCCCTCTATGGAATCACATTGACTGATGATTGCCATATATACTTACATAAAATATATTGATATGTTGGTCTATAATATATTACTCTATGCATTTCATTTCAGCTACGATGCCATGGATCACCTTTACCACTGCTTCTGGGATATGGGAATACTTGAGTATTTAATCTGTATCCTTCTATTTAATCAATACTTATCAATGAGCCAAGTTATTACTTTTATGATCAGATTCGTAGGTTTGTGTCTTTAGGTTCTATTGGGGGTGTTTTTTCCCCCTTTTTAAAAAATATTTATGATTCTTTTGAATGATTGATTTTTAAAGTTTATTATGACTATGTACACTATGACTTAACACCTGTACCACAGATATCTTGAACAAAAGGAATGAATTGGTGAAGAAACGCAAAGCGGTAGGACTTGTTATTAATTTGTTATTTTCATACATATTTAACAGGTTACATGTATATAATAGGTCTACATAGTTGGATTTTAACATTACTTATTGTTATAATAATGTGTGCCTCGAAATGTGCGATATCATCCTCTTATGTGTCGGTACACCAAATTTCTCAAATTTAATTCAAATAATCTACTGTATATCTTTTCTATTGATTTTTAGGTGGATGTGATTGGACAGGTAGAACTCAACACATGTAATTCATCAGAGATATTAACTGAAGTAATCAAAAAGAGGAAAACAATGATGCTCCAATCAATGTCAAAACAGTATTTATAATGCACAGTAAATCCTGACACATGCTCTTGAACTCAGTAATGATGACATCTTTAATCAGATGCAGAATGACATCAGTGGTGCTGAAATAAAGACTTTAAACTCTCAGATACAAAATAAGTTGCATAAACAAAATAAAGTCAATGCAAACATGAAAACAGAAACTGGATTAATTGGATAAATGATTTACAGTATGCTCAAACATAATGAGTGTCTTGTATATATAGCCTGGGTTAATTTGGTATTAAATCATCATAAGTGAACAAAGTAATGATTATGGCGCTTTACCAAAGTGAATATAGCAAACTTAAGGCAAAAATATTTTGTTTACAATGCTTTAAATGAAAAGCTTTTGTTCCAGCTGCAGTAATAATGAGCTTTCGATTTGTGCGACGACGTGACGCTAGAACATTATCACTCATGCGTGACCGTCCTACCTAGCGTCCTACGTTCTCTGCATACGTAGATTTGGCAAAATTGCGTTCCAGAATCTACTCGACGAGGTGACCTTAGCGTTCTCGCATGCGCAGATGAATTTTAGTGACGTCATTACGTTCTACGTCCTACCGTCGTCGTAAAATCGAAAGCTCCCTAATTACTCAAATCAAGACGTCATTGGGAGCCCTTGTTACCCTGGTAACTCTGTCTCAGGTCGTCGTTGCCGCCACTGCCGTCATTATTATTACCATTGATATTATTGTTATTGTTATTATAATTATTTTAATTGTCATTACTATTGCTTATTTTGTATGGAAACTTGTGTCTTAGAAAACATGCCAGAGACGGACTTATGGCAAAACATCAAAAGTTCTAATTTTCTTCCATAAAAAGAGGAATAGAGTAATCAATAAAACCATGAAAAGTCGTTTTTATTTAAAACATTATGGAAATGAATAAAAAATACGGTAATGTAACGCAGTTTCCATCTTTAATTTACAATATATGGTATATGCTACTTTTATTTTATCCAATAAATGGCAATGCACCACGAACACAGCAAACAACAAATAATAATTATTATACTAAATTAAAAGAAAATGTATCCTGTACATCGAGGCATTCTGGGGTGGTGGTGGTTATATTCAGATAGGTGTCTGTTCGTCAGTGTTGGACAGGCTACAAGTGAAGTCCGACTAGCAATCGCTTGAAAATCGGTTCTGTGCTCTGTACTTTTAAAGCTTTATTATTCACACGATCAAAGTCAGACGGTTTAAAATGAATATAATGTTGAAGTAAAGACTGGTTTCCATAAAAATCGATACACGCCATCGCCGACTCCTTTGCAGAGCAACGATTGCAGTAAAAAAAAGTGTAGCGACTGTATGATATGAAACTGAGCTTACTGTGCATTAGTGGTCCAAAATGTGAAAAACTAAATTATAATATAGTCATATGATAGGCCTACTCTGTTCCGTTCCATTGTTGAAAGTGAAAGTCCTTTGAATAACGAATAAACTACCACAAATATAACAACTTGCCAATTGGAGAACGCGAAATAAAACTAATCAAGACACGGTGTGATTTAGTGACCCCAATGGGTAATTTCATGAACAATGTGTGATCATTATGGGGAAGTGTGGGCGACTTGTGTGTAAAGCCCTCTGTATCCCTAGATACGTGTACAGTAGTTTTGTAATTTATTTTTGTGAACAGACCAGGCGTAGGCTCAACTAGTATCAATTATGTACAGATCAACAGCTATTGTATATTTTAATTCTTCAACCAAATATCTGTTAATAAATATATACACACTGTAATGTTAAGGGTGTAATAACCCACCTTGACCCTAGACGATTTATTCACCGAATTGTTACCGCGGAAATCTCCTGTTTCCGATAAACAGTCTTGGTGCTGAATTGGAACTTCACTGGTAACCATCGCATCAAGTTCATCATGGCAACGCTTTTAAATCTCACGTTTGCTCTTTTGTTTTTCAACGGGCTATTGGCACATATTATTAATGGCAAGTATTTTATTTCATTTTTGTGACGTAAAAATGTGCACATCTGATTATGCTCAAGTTAATTCTCTTTGCAGTAACGTTAAATTTTGAATTGGCACTCAAGTCCTGAAGGTACAACATAAAGCCCTAAGGTCAAGTTCAGATGACAATGAACCACACGTTTTTCTTTCGTTGCTGCTTCTATAATATATTTAAAGTAATACAGAACCGTATTTAGGTAGAACACTGCAAAAGTTCGTACGTTTAAATTGTTTCTTGACGGTAATCTTGATTAGCACTTAACTCAAAACATACAGTATCATATGACTATTTTTGTAACAAAAGATACCGGTAAGTGTTTGTTAAATCATCAAAATTAAAGCTGATGTCGTGATGACGCTTAATGTATTGGCCTCTCTTAACATATACCGTCTTGAATGGAAATTTACGCTATTCCTCCCCGTCTACAGGTGAAAAAATAAGTGGTAAATTTGAGAACGTCACAGCTACAGTCGGTGACGATGTGTTCTTGAAATGTCCTGGACTAGGCGTCCAGATCGCTGTCTGGACCTTGAATGACAACTTCGTCAGCGAGGACGACGAGCGGATTTACATCATGCCTGGTCGCGGCATCCTCCTCCTTAATGTCGAGATTGCAGATACCGGTAAATATCGTTGTAGAAACGTCATTCAAGACAAAATAATTGAATTGAGAATAGAACTTGACGTGGCGCCTGCTCTTGATCAACCACACTTGGCAAACACAGATTGTAAGTTGTTTTTTTTTTCTAAGATTAAATAAGTCTTTGGTGATGCTTGTGACGTCCATAATTTCCTCTTGACTGACCAAGGACTTATAACTGTTATATAAATCCTTGGACTGACAAAGTTTTGAATATTATAAACTAATTCCGATGTGTGGAGGCGCTCCTCGTAGTCCAGTCAATATGAAACGAATACTAAACACTAAACAAATTAGAACATCTTTTGAGTTTAATTAACGTGTTAGGGCATAAGCCTACTGAGAAAAACCCAAGTGTGATGCAATTTTTCTTTTCTCATTTTAGCCTCGGCTTATCAGGGGCGGGTTCAGAAATGTCCAAAAAGCTGTCTCTTATACACATCTAGATGTGTATAAGAGACAGACAAATGAGTAGTTGCATGCGTATTCTTTTTTCCATGAATCGATAAATCCCAAAAAAAAGGGTGGTCCGGGGGTTCTCCCCAGGAAAATTTTGATTCCTAGATGGCGAGAATTGAGCTTTCCAGACATTTGAAGTGTGTTTTAGCAAGAACATCATGAAGCCTCCATGTATATAGGCCTACAATATTTTGACATCATCATCTGTCCTCTCTGTGATAAAATTTCATTTTATACAAATTAAATATTATTTTATTAAATAAATAATACCGTACATTTGTGTTCCCCAAACACCCCCCACCCGACAATTGTTGATTGTTTTTATTTTTTCTACCATGATTCAACCAAACACGGTTCAGCCACACACACGTCATAGCTTTCTCCTTCCAAAAACTGTTATGCACAATCTGTTACTCCGCAGCTTTGAAAGACTACCTCAATATACAGGTATTATGTTATAGTAATAAAGTATCCACATAGGCATTCGATTATCAAGAAATATGAGGTGTTGTTTACCGTAGTGATCTTTCTAGGACAGGTCTTATTATTCATTTTTATCTTTAGCTCATGACTCATCCCATCATTCCTCCATACCGGATTTACTCGATCTTACAGGGATACTAGACGATAACAAGTGTCTAGCTAGCTCCCGAGGGGGCATAGGCACAAAAACCGCTTATAACTCAAATAGCACGCATCATCTCGCACTTTAGCAGCGTGTGCAAGCGACGCATTCGCTGTAACAATGAAGCGGCTTTATTAAAAACTATTTTCTCCATGATGAAACGTCTCTTTGATATTTTTTTTTTCAATTTGCAGACGGCTTCGCGGCCCTCCAAAAATGTTTCGAGGCCCAAATTTGGGCCGCGGACCATAGTTTGCGGAACGTCGTCTAGACGCCCGAAACAACATTTAAGCCATTCTGGGCTATCATTTTTTTTCTTTTTTCCCATTTATTTTACCTCCCAAAAAAAGGGGAGGGGGCGGGCCGCCCCTGCTTACGTGAAACATTTGTGTTATATTTTCTTTTCCGATTGATGAAGATAATTCTATGAAGATTAGGAGACTCCTGTAATTCTCGGTTCACACACACCCAGCAGCATTGCTGCGTTTGCCGGAACCGTTGTCTAAATTGCTCTGTGACCCAAGCCTACGACATCACTTAGAATTTAATAGACCGATTGTAGTCCTACCCTTAAATGGTTTAGGACACATATACAGAGTTGCATTGTGGTTTAAAAATTTCCATTTTTTCGTAGTCAAATGTGGTACACCGAGAGCTCGTGGTAAAATCGTCGGTGGTCGCTTGACCTACGCAGGACAGGTACCCTGGCAGGTTATGCTATGGCATACTTCGAAGAAGAAAATGTTTTGTGGGGGTGCATTGTTGAACAGGTTTTGGGTCATCACTGCTGCACACTGTATTTATTTCACTGAAGCAAACAATAGGAATATTGAGGTGAAGTATAATATACAGGCTTATTGTTGAAATTTATTTAGTGTTGTCCCCAGCATCGATTCATTTGAAGCACACTTTGCCAGTGGCGTAGCTAGGGGGGGTCAAAGGGGGGAACGTACCCCGGGCGCCACGTTTGAGGGGGCGCTGAAATGGGAGAATGAGAGTAAAAAAATAAGCACTTTTTTTGAAAAACACGACGAAATTGATGTATTTCGTCAGGCATGAATATTTTAATAATACAGTATCCCGAATGTGTTGTTTTTAGTGGCAAATTCATAGAGTGTGATTTCTTTTCAGTCCATTTCGACCGTTTTCTCTTGTTTTTTATCCTATTGTGTAATGACTACACGACTAAAGCTCATCCTGCCATATCTCAGAGCCACGATGGGAGAAGCGAGACTATCGGCTTTGGCACTACTTAGTATAGAGCGTGATGAAGCAGACAACATTGCTAACTTTGATCATGTTATTAACTTATTTGCTGATACAAAAAAGCACACAAAATTCAGTTGCAAGTTTAAACAATGTTAAAAATTCAGCAACTTACAAGACTCTATTATAAGATAAATTTAGAGAATAAGAATACTGAGATGTAGGCCCTATGCGATAAATACAACAGCCTTACAAAATAGGATAATGGTAAAGTTGTATACAAGTTCCGAACATTGTAATGCAGTTTCAATAGTAAGAAACAGGGATGGCGCCAGGGCCCTCTTCGGGGATAGCTTCGCCCGCCCCCACCCCCCTTCATCAGGGAGAAAAACCATAATTCGTTGGGGAGAAAACAAATTATAGATATTTTGTAAATATTAGTAGACTCTAACATCGATTAAATAAGCCTTTGAAACCCATAAATTGTCAACATTTTTCGGGGGCTTCGCCCCCCCCCCCACCCCCAGGCCACTTTCAGAAGATTTTAAGCGACGCCCGATCATGCCCACTTGCTCTCTTCAAGGAAATCTTCCCCCTCGTCGGGGAATCCCTCCCCCCGAACATTGGACCCCCCTCGGGCAAATCTTTTCCCCATCCCTGGTAAGAAAAAACATACGAGAGCTAGAATAATAATAGTTATTCGGGTTTAAATAATGTTATTTAGACAGTGCATTATATGGACGTCCCGATGGACGTACAGTACGGATGCTTAAAGTCTATACAACCAATATCAATTAATTTCAAAATATTATAATTATAATTGGGGGGGGGGGAAGCGCAATTTTCTACTCTTGCCCCCGGGCGCCAGAACCTCTAGCTACGCCACTGCACTTTGCTTGCTCAGTATGTAAATTAAGAGCCTCACAAATGACTTAGTCTGTCTTAATAACCCAATTCACTCAGTATCGAAACTTGTTGAACTGCATAATTCCTCATAGAATGTTGAGAAATCGCGGCTGATTCCATTTGATTAACCACAATTAGAGCAACATCCATGTGCGCCAATCTACACTAGCAGATAATAAGGCGTTTAATGCTAATGCGCGAATATTTCAGATACGGTTGGGCGTATGGGACTCCGAGACTGAAGAAGACTTTGAAAGCCATTTTGAAGTTGATGAAATCGTTGTGCATCCGAACTACAACATTGAGACTTACGATTCAGATATAGCATTAATACGCCTAAGACAGCCGGTACATTATACTGATTATATCATTCCAAGTAAGCATCGTTTATAAATTGGAGATCCAATGTGGCCTATGTAGCCCAAAAAGAACCTTCAACGAAAATAGAAATATACCTACAGTATAATAAATAATCGTTGTATTTTTTAATAAAGAATTGTTGTATTTTGTATTTTGTGGAGGTGGGGGCGGGGGGTGGGGGGAGAAATGGGCTGAGGCGCAAAATTTGTTTGTGAGGTTTGGCTGGAATATACCTTAGGTCTAAGTACAGTTATATTGTTTTTAATGTTTTCACTCTTTTAACGTTGTAATTTAGGTTTAACACTGTATAGCTTCAGTGATCGGCCTAGTCCGGTGTTTTCATCATTATGTTTACTCATTTTGATGTGGTCTTCTATTTCATTTTGGCTAATGTTTTTTTTTTAATCGATACGGTATTTTTACAAATTCAAACTTATGCATTTCTTTACATCTACACCATTTATTGTTCTCACTGTGAATGTTTGTTGCTTTTAACCAACGAATATAAAATGAACATTATTTTCGTGCGATACCGTACCTTCGCATTTTTTTTTTATTACAGTTTGTCTACCAAGCAACCAACGTGCAGACAGGTTGATGAGACCTAAACAAAAAGGATTTATTTCTGGTTGGGGAGCAACGAAGGAGGAAGGAGATTACGTACGCTACCTCCGTAGGGTACAGTAGGGTGTTTGATTTCTTTATTTCTTCTAGTTTCAGATAGGCCTAAGCTTCCTGTAAGATTATGAATTTGGAATTGTTATTGGTGTAATTTTATGGAATGAGCATCACCTTGGATTTCTATAAAGTCATCCACGGCGTAAAATATCTTGTGCTGCTTTATTCATCAGTATCGCTATTCTTATATTGCACATGTCTATTTCGATCGTTAATTTTGTAGGTTCGCCTGCAAATTACGGATCAACATTCGTGCGGAACCCAACATACGGATTTGATAACTAATAACATGTTTTGCGGCGCACCGTTACCTGGGAAACAATCACGTGACGCATGTCAGGGAGATAGTGGAGGACCGTTTGTCGTTCGAGTAGGTGGTGTTTATTGCCATCATTTGTTTTTTAATATACATTTAGCTGCAAGAAATTATAATTTTTACGTTGTATAATTGTAAAAGATTAGAGTAATTAAATACATGACGTCAGATAGTTAACATCACATGTGTACAGTGGCGTAGAAAAATATTTTTCATTGGGGGGGGGGATG